TAGAGTTTTTTGAAGTTAGAAATGACCTGATGGTCCATGGGCTGGATGAGAGTGGTGATGTTAGGAGGTAAGAATTTCACTGTTATAAAACTGAAGTCCCTAAACAATTGGTCTACCAAGTCTGGAGGATGAGCAGGAGCACTGTCCAGTACCAGGAGGCACTTGAGTGGCAATTTATTTTCCTGGAGGTATTTTTTCACACTTGAGCCAAACACTTCAAGGACCTAGTCAATGAAAATTTGCCTTGTGACCCATGCCTTATTATTAGCTTTCCACAACACACAATTTACTCCTGACGACATTGCTTTTCTTGAAAACACCGGGATTTTCAGAGAGAGATACACCAGTAAAAACTTCACTTTGAAATCCCCACTAGCATTACTACAGAACAAAAGAATTATCCTATACTCATAGGCTTGTGTCCTGGCAGTGCCTTTTCCTCCTTCATGATGTAGGTCCTCTTTGGCATATTTTCTTCAAAAAGAGGCCTATTTCGTCACAACTGAACACTTGTTGGGGAAGGATTCCTCAAGCCTCTACATAATCCTTGAATTCATGCATGGATTCTTCAGCCGAAGGTTTGTCTGAACTTGCAGCCTCACCATGCCTTACAACACTGTGTATGCCACTACGCTTCTTGAATCTGTTGAACCAGCCTCTGCTGGCCTTAAATTCACTAACAGCAGCACTCGTTCCAAGCATTTTCTTTACAAGATCCGCATGCAACTGCCTTGCCTTTTCACAAACGATCAACTCCACAACGATCAACTCCCACTATCCTCGTTGATCCACAACAACAACTTCTCCACATCCTTGATCGTTTGTGATCTCTGTTTCGTTAGCATTTTTACACCTTTCGCAACTTTAGCTTCCCTGATTTCTACTTTCTTTGCCAGGATGGAACAGATTGTTAATTTTGACTTCCCATACATCCTGGCAAGCTTTGCTAAATGTACGTCACTTTCATATTTTTGTACAATCTCTTTCTTGAATTCTATCGTGTTTCTCACTTTCTTTACCAAAGGGCTGGCACTAGGAACTTTCTTTGGGCCCTTGGTGGCTTATTTTTCAGTCGTAATCAATAAACAAGCACAAAAATTGTGAAATATTTTGGATGAATGCTCAATCAACCAGTGACAGAGCCAGACTGAGGCAGCGTCCCGGCAGGTGGACGTGTCTGATACGTACAATTCCCGGGACAATGTACAAAATCCAGAGCAAAATTTCGCCCAAAAAAAGTGTTCTAAATTTGGAACGTCCGATATCCAGTGTATGCAAAATCTGGGGTTCCACTGTACAGTGGACCCTTGAATTTCGTAATTAATCTGTTCCAGAGAATCTGACGAAAGGCGAAATTTACGAATGGCGAAACCATTTTCCCCATAAGAAATAATGTAAATCCAATTACTGTAATCTGTTCCAGACACCCAAAAGTATTAACAAAAAATATTTTTTTTCACATTAAATATAGATTTATATACAGAAAACAATGAGACATCAAATATAAAACAATAATATCACACTTACCTTTATTGAAGACTCTTGTTGGTGTATGGAAGACAGGAGGAGGGGAGAGAATGGAGAAGTTACACTATTGTTTGGAAGGGGAATCCCTTCCATAAAGACTTTAGGTACCAAGTCCTTATCCTGGGTTACTTCCCTTCTTTGTTTTTTAATGCCACTAGGATCAGCTTGAGAGTCACTGGACTCCTATCACTCAAAAAACTGTTCCAGAGAGCTCTGTTTCTGGGGTCTCTTTAACCCTTTCAGGGTCCACAGGCCCTCTCAGAGACTTGTTCTCAGGGTCCCCCAAATTTAAAAAAAAAAAAAAAATTCTTATGAAAAGATAGAGAATCTTTTCCCGATCATAATGACACCAAAAGTATGAGATTTGATGGAAAACTTACGGAATTATGCTCGCGTGAAGTTAGTGGTCTCAGCGATGTTTACACATCGGAGTTTTTGCCCACTTTGAACCCTATTTTTGGCCAATTCCAGTGTACTAGCCGACAAAAATCCTAACTATTTTGCTAGAACTCCATTTTTTTCTATCAAATGAGTACAAGAACCCACCCATTTACCAGTTTCAACTATCCAATACAGTGGTCAGAATTTAGCAATTTTGCCAATTTCACACAAATTTCAAAAGATGTCAATTTCCAAATAGAGTCCAAAATAAACAAGAAAGACATTCCTGGCACTAAAATAACATCCCCAGGCCCCTTTTATATTTCTTTGGCTTTCCACTTTGAATTTTTATTCTTACAAAAAATAGAAGATTTACTTTTATGCATACTACTGCATTAGTGTAGAAATAGTATAAATAATATCAACGCACTTGTAAAAGAATATTAGACTCACCAGTTGACGTGTATTGGACGCTTGGCATGATTTGTCTACTTTTGAACTTTGGTAAAAATCGAACATTTCTGCTACTTTGAGCTCAATTTCAAGGTACTTTTCATTGTAAAACCAGTCAAAATTATCTAAATTTCTGTAATATGTCTTCCATTCTATAAAATGAGCCCAGGAAAACTAGAATGCAACAATAAATACCATACAAAAATACAGTGCAAAGTCGCTGTTTTAATCCAAAACCACGGTCAAATTTTTTTTTTCTCATTACGCACTGTGTGCTACAGGATTTTTTTATACTGCCCCCTTGACCACATAGACCCATTCTTTCATATGTAGGCCTACCAGCTTTCTCTCACTAGATCTGAGGGCGCTAGAATTTATGCGTACTAGTACGTCAAAAACCCTGAGGCGTAAGCCGTACTAGTACGGCCGAAACCCTGAAAGGGTTAAAATTTACCTAAAATGGGACAAGGCAATGTCACTGTACATGTTGCTGACATGGCTTGCAACAGTTTTGTCAGGGCAATGTTCCTCCACAAACGTTTGTATCTCACTCCACTTTGCACAAATGTCCTTAATCACTGAAGAAGGCACCTTCTTCCATCTCTCTTCCTCCTCCTCTGAAGCAATTTCCTGAGCTGTGGTCTGTTGCTGTTCCAGATGAAGCTCTTGCAGCTCTTCAGTGGTTAGCTCTTCACTGTGGTCCTCCACCAACTCTTCCACATCCTGGCCAGTCACATCAAACCCCATGGAATTCCCCAATGCCACAAAAGATTCCACAACTGGCATTGGGTTGTCAAGATCAGCCTCAAACCCTCCAAGCAGAGTTCAAAGTCCTGGAAGTCACTCCCTGCCAAGCCTTATCTATAAGGTCTAAGGTGTATGCCACTATGTTTCTTAAATCTCTCAAACCACCCTTTGCTGGCCTTAAATTCACTAACATCAGCACTCCTTCCAGGCATTTTCTTTATGAGATAGGCATGCAACTGCCTTTGCTTTTCACAAATTATCAACTGCATAACACTACCTGCTGCTAATTGTTTTTTTTTGATCCACACCAACAAATTCTTAACATCTTCGAGTATTTGTGATCTCTTTTTTTGAGCATATCTACCCCTTTCACAACAACAGCTTCCTCGATTTCCTTTTTCTTCGCCACGATGGAAGTGATGGTTGTATGGGGGCTTCCCATGCATTCTGGCAAGATGGGCCACACCCATGCCACTTTCATATTTTGCAATGATTTCTTTCTTGAATTCTATCATATTTCTCACATTCTTTACCAAAGGGCTGGCACTAGAATCTTTCTTTGGGCCCAAGGTGGCTTATTCAGCAGTTGCAAGCACAAAAAAGGATGGAATATTATGAAATGTATCGTATGAACGTGTGGGGTGATGGTCACTTGCCAGTAAACAATGCCACACTGACTGGGAATGGTGTGTGGGGTGCCTTTGTGTGGCACAGACACTGCGAAGCTGCTTGTACGTATTCCAGATGACCGACGAAATTTACGAAGCGTGAGGCTTATGAAACTCGAGGGTCCACTGTACAGTACAGTGGACCCCCGGTTAACGATTTTAATCCGTGCAAGAGGGCTCATCGTTATGCGAAATAATCGTTATGCGAATCAATTTTCCCCATAAGAAATAATGGAAATAAAATTAATCCGTGCAAGACGCCCAAAAGTATGAAAAAAATTTTTTTTTACCACATGAAATGTTAATTTTAATACACACAAACTGAAAAAGGCATGCACAATTACATGACACTTACTTTTATTGAAGATCTGGTGATGATTGATGGGATGGGAGGAGGGGAGAGCATTATCTTCTTACTGTTTAGAAGGGGAATCCCCTTCCATTACGACTTGAGGTAGCAAGTCCTTTTCTGGGGTTACTTCCCTTCTTCTTTTAATGCCACTAGGACCAGCTTGAGAGTCACTGGACCTCTGTCGCACAACAAATCTGTCCATAGAGCTCTGTACCTCCCGTTCCTTCAAGACTTTCCTAAAATGGGCCATAACATTGTCATTGAAATAGTCACAAGCACGGCTTGCAACAGCTGTGTCAGGGTGATTTTTCATCTATAAAGGTTTGCAGTTCAACCCACTCTGCACACATTTCCTTAATCTTTGAAGTAGGCACAATGGATTCCACAACTGGCATAGGCTTCTCAGGGTTAGCCCCAAACCCTTCAAAATCTTTCTTAATTTCCATACTAATTCCCACCCTTTTTACCACAGGGTTGGCACTAGAAGCTTTCTTGGGGCCCATGGTCACTTATTTTCCACAAACAGCACCGAAAACACTGTAATAATACGAAATATTCCGAGTGTATGCTTGGATGTTACCGCGGAGGCTGGCTGGTAAACAATGGGACGGCCGGCACATGTGAGGGCACATTGGACGCGTCTCGGACGAAAATCGGTATGCGGGTTTTTAATCGGTATGCGGGGCAAAAATTTTGCGATAAAAGTAATCGTTATGCGGAAAAATCGCTATGCGATGCCATCGTTATGCGGGGGTCCACTGTACTTCCTTTACCACAAATGACAGAACAGGCTGACCAACCGATACATGATGAACACTCTATAGAAGTGAAGAATGAATGAGTGCAAGTCCACCATCACAAGCAGCAGTTGACCAGGAAATATGATAAACTGATAAGGACCTGTGGAGAGCGAATGCAACAAGTGCTCTGTCAGATTCCGACAACCATGTTTCTGTCAAAAACAGAATATCAAGAGAAAACTCATTAAAAACTTTAATAACATGCATAATTTATTTCTTACTGAATGGATGTTCAAAAATTCCATCTTCAATGGTTTTGAGGAGTCTGAGGATTTCTGAGGCTGTAAATTTATTTTCCATTAATTTATGAAGCTGCAGCACCATTCCTGGACAGTCAGAGCTAGATACAAAATGATGAATTTCACGCTGAGGAGTATTTCAGGGGTAAAAATTAACACACAGATGATTTATCGTCAAAACTTCTAGATTCATGACCAGCACAAAATGCACACCCAGGTGGACTAACTTATGGACATTTTGCCGTAACATGACGAGCTGTTGGTATGAGACCAAGGTAACTTTCTGTGAAGGGATTCTGGGTAACCGGTTAGCTGGACTCAAGTTCTGGGTGAGGTGTACAGTGCCTGCACTCTGGAGGGGTGGGGATATTTACAGTCTGGAGGGGAATCTGAACCATAGTATTAGTATGCCTCTGGCAAAACAGTGATATGAGTGGATGATGGCGAAAGGGTTTCTTCTTCTTTTTCAGGTCATCCTGCCTCAGTGGGAGATGGCTGGGGTGTTAAAAAAAAACTTGTTATAACCTAATCTAACCTAACAAAATGTAACGTAACCTAACCTAATCTAACCTAACCATATATTATTTTAAACAATGTTTTAAATATGCTTTTAATGTTTCAAGAAGTGGTTCAGATAAATGGTTTTATGTTTTAATTTTTTATTATTGTATTTATTTCTACATAGTGAAATTACTGGCAATAAAACTGATTAGAAGTTAAATTACTGGGAGCAAAATTATCAAGAGTTAAATGACTGGGAGTAAACTTACTAGTCACCCTCTCTTGGACTGAGCAGTGAATGAAACACATTTAGTTTCATTGCTGATCTGGAACCAACCTCTTCAGATTTCCAGGAAGTGTAGTTTAAGGACTCTTAATATTACCTACAGTACAATACATGAAGAATTAAGATAAAGATTATACAGTACTGTACTCACCATGAATTGCTAGCTCAGAGTCCTTGTTAAGATCATAAAGACGAACCGCCTCATCCAGCTCTTGCTGCGATGAGATAGTACAAGGGTCACCTGAAAAAATGTGGGAAACATACATCAGTCCATTTAAAATTTTATGTTCATATGTGCATATGAGCTGTTGAAGTGGAAGCAGGGTAATATTTAGTAAAGGGATTCAGAGAAACCACTTATTATGGATTTAGCTGGACCTGAGGCCTGGAAATGGGAAGTACAGTGCCTGCACTTTTTTTAGGAGGGGTCTGGGATATTAAGAGTTTGGAGAGACTTCTAAACTGTCATATCTGAGTGCCTCTGCAAAGACAGTGATTATGTATGAGTGAGGTGAAAGTGTTGAATGATGATGAAAGTACGTATTTTCTTTTTGGACATTTTCTTTCTTTTTGGGTCACCCTGCCTTGGTGGAAGATGGCCAACTTGTTGAAAAAAAAAAAATGTGCATATGACAGAGTGGATAGGGAAGCAATGTGGCAGATGTTGCAAATGTATGGAATAGGTAGTAAGAGTTTTTTATGAGGATAGTGAGGCTCAGGTTAGGGTGTGTAGGAGAGAGGGAGATTACTTCCCAGTAAAAGTAGGTCTTAGACAGGGATGTGTAATGTCACCATCATTGTTTAATATATTTATAGATGGGGTTGCAAAAGAAGTAAATGCTAGGGTGTTGGGGAAAGGAGTGGGATTAAATTATGGGGAATCAAATACAAAATAGGAGTTGACACAGTTACTTTTTGCTGATGATACTGTGCTTTTGGGAGATTCTAAAGCAAAGTTGCAAAGGTTAATGGATTAATGGACGAGTTTGGGAGGGTGTGTAAAGGTAGAAAGTTGAGAGTGAACATAGATAAGAGTAAGGTGATGAAGGTACCAAACGATTTAGATAAAGAAAAATTGGATATTGTATTACACTGGAGAGAGGGAGTATGGAGGAAGTAAATGTTTTCAGATATTTGGGAGTTGATTTGTCGGCAGATAGGTTTATGAAAGATGAGGTTAACCATAGAATTGATGAAGGAAAAAAGGTGAGTGGTGCATTGAGGTATCTGTGGAGATGGAAAACGTTGTCCATGGAGGCAAAGGAGGGAATGTATGAAAGTATAGTGGTATCAACACTCTTATATGGGTGTGAAGCTTGGGTTGTAAATGCTGCAGCGAGGAGGCGGCTGGAGGCAGTGGAGATGTCCTGTCTAAGGGCAATGTGGGGTGTAAATATTATGCAGAGAATTCGGAGTGTGGAAATTAGGAAGAGGTGTGGAGTTACTAAAAGTATTAGTCAGAGGGCTGAAGAGGGGTTGTTGAAGTGGTTTGGTCATTTTGAGAATGGAACAAAGTAGAATGACTTGGAGAGCGTATAAATCTGTAGGGGAAGGAAGGCGGGGTAGGGGTCATCCTTGAAAAGGTTGGAGGAAGGGGGTAAAGGAGGTTTTGTGGACAAGGGGCTTGGACTTCCATCAATCATGCGTGAGCGTGTTAGATAGGAGTGAATGGAGATAAATGGTTTTCGGGACCTGAAAAGCTGTTAGTGTGAGCAGGGTAATATTTTGTGAAGGGATTCAGGGAAACTGCTTAGCCGGACTTGAGTCCTGGAAATGCCTGCACTTTAAAGGAGGGGTTTTGGGATATTGGCAGTTTGGAGGGACTTCTAAACTGTCGTATCTGAGTGCCTCTGCAAAGACAGTGATTATGTATGAGTGACGGTGAAAGTGTTGAATGATGAAAGTATTTTCCTTTCTTTTTGGGTTTTCCTTTCTTTTTGGGTTACCCTGCCTTGGTGGGAAATGGCTGAGGTGTTAAAAAAAAAAAAAAATTCTTATAAAAAATCTGAGGAAACATTAACAAACCTTTTCTACTAAATTATTTACATAATTAAAAAAAATTAATATTCAGTTTTAAAAATATGATAAGGAATTTAGTGCACATACGGTATTATACTAGCAAGGCAGCTATTAAATGAATAATGGTGAACATATTTTCTATTTTCTTCTTCTCTGTTTTGTGGATAACTGTACAATGGACCCTCATTTTTTGTAAGCATTGGAATTTGTAACTTTCGCAAATTGTAACGTTTTTCGTTAAAATATTGACTCGCGAATCGTCATTTGACTTACAAATAGTTGTTCATCCCAAACGCGTACCAGCAGCCCAAGAGGCCCCACACACCATTCACAGTCAGTGTGCCACTGTTTATCAGCAAGTGAGTACAAACCCACACATTCATATGATACATTTCATAATATGCAATTTGTTTTAGTGCTTGCAACTGCTAAATAAGCCACCATGGACCCAAAGAAAGCTAGTTCCAGCCCTTTGGTAATGAAGGTTAGAAACACGATAGAATTCAAGAAAGACATCACTGAAAAATATGAACGTGGAGAGAGGGGCTGACCAATACAGGCACTAGAGATGAAGCCAGTATACCTGGAATATTGTACCTCCAATTACATATCTACAAAAAAGCTGGACAGGTCATAATTCAACTGACATTAATAACTACAGACCAATATCTTATCTACAAATACTGTAAAAAAATATTTAAGAAAGTAGTCCACAAATGGCTGTACACATAGCCAAATACAATATACTTAGTCTTTGTCAATTCTGATTAAGATTTAAAAAAAAAAGCACAAATGATGCAATAATAAAAATGCTTGACAGTGTGTTTTCGTTTTCAGCCCTTCACATGAGTATTCTTTTGGACATTTTGTTAATCTGTGAAAGTCTTTTGATACTGACAACCACAATATTTTTCTTCTCAAGCTAAATCACTGTGAACTTCAAGGACATGAAATTACAGTAAAACCTCTCATTAAAAAAACCTCACCAATTTTAGACAAAAAAAAAAGTCAAACAAATGCTCTAAATATCAAACAAAATAGGCAAAAATCCATAATTTTGTGCTTTGCCTGTAGGAATAGTGTTTGGCTGTCTTCTGATGTACTGGGCCAAGTCTGCTAACTTTAACATTTGTCTGGTATGGGCAAAAGCAGCCATGTCCAGGACCAGCCCATTTTCATTGTTCCTTGAGGAGTCGTCCACCCATGCCAGTTTATTGTTTGGGCTCACTCATACAATCCTCGTCATTCGGTCTCTAATTTTCCCTGGATTTTAAGCATCAACAAATTATCAACAAATTTTGTTGAAAATAAGAAAAAGTTTTGGAGTGAGATTAACAAGTTAAGGAAGCCTAGAGAACAAATGGATTTGTCAGTTAAAAATAGGAGAGGAGAGTTATTAAATGGAGAGTTAGAGGTATTGGGAAGATGGAGGGAATATTTTGAGGAATTGTTAAATGTTGATGAAGATAGGGAAGCTGTGATTTCGTGTATAGGGCAAGGAGGAATAACATCTTGTAGGAGTGAGGAAGAGCCAGTTGTGAGTGTGGGGGAAGTTCATGAGGCAGTAGGTAAAATGAAAGGGGGTAAGGCAGCCGGGATTGATGGGATAAAGATAGAAATGTTAAAAGCAGGTGGGGATATAGTTTTGGAGTGGTTGGTGCAATTATTTAATAAATGTATGGAAGAGGGTAAGGTACCTAGGGATTGGCAGAGAGCATGCATAGTTCCTTTGTATAAAGGCAAGGGGGACAAAAGAGAGTGCAAAAATTATAGGGGGATAAGTCTGTTGAGTATACCTGGTAAAATGTATGGTAGAGTTATTATTGAAAGAATTAAAAGTAAGACAGAGAATAGGATAGCAGATGAACAAGGAGGCTTTAGGAAAGGTAGGGGGTGTGTGGACCAGGTGTTTACAGTGAAACATACAAGCGAACAGTATTTAGATAAGGCTAAAGAGGTCTTTGTGGCATTTATGGATTTGGAAAAGGCGTATGACAGGGTGGATAGGGGGGCAATGTGGCAGATGTTGCAGGTGTATGGTGTAGGAGGTAGGTTACTGAAAGCAGTGAAGAGTTTTTACGAGGATAGTGAGGCTTAAGTTAGAGTATGTAGGAAAGAGGGAAATTATTTCCCAGTAAAAGTAGGCTTTAGACAAGGATGTGTGATGTCACCGTGGTTGTTTAATATATTTATAGATGGGGTTGTAAGAGAAGTAAATGCGAGGGTCTTGGCAAGAGGTGTGGAGTTAAAAGATAAAGAATCACACATAAAGTGGGAGTTGTCACAGTTGCTCTTTGCTGATGACACTGTGCTCTTGGGAGATTCTGAAGAGAAGTTGCAGAGATTGGTGGATGAATTTGGTAGGGTGTGCAAAAGAAGAAAATTAAAAGTGAATACAGGAAAGAGTAAGGTTATGAGGATAACAAAAAGATTAGGTGATGAAAGATTGGATATCAGATTGGAGGGAGAGAGTATGGAGGAGGTGAATGTATTCAGATATTTGAGAGTGGACGTGTCAGCGGATGGGTCTATGAAAGATGAGGAGAATCATAGAATTGATGAGGGAAAAAGGGTGAGTGGTACACTTAGGAGTCTGTGGAGACAAAGAACTTTGTCCTTGGAGGCAAAGAGGGGAATGTATGAAAGTATAGTTTTACCAACGCTCTTATATGGGTGTGAAGCATGGGTGATGAATGTTGCAGTGAGGAGAAGGCTGGAGGCAGTGGAGATGTCATATCTGAGGGCAATGTGTGGTGTGAATATAATGCAGAGAATTCGTAGTTTGGAAGTTAGGAGGAGGTGCAGGATTACCAAAACTGTTGTCCAGAGGGCTGAGGAAGGGTTGTTGAGGTGGTTTGGACATGTAGAGAGAATGGAGCGAAACAGAGTGACTTCAAGAGTGTATCAGTCTGTAGTGGAAGGAAGGCGGGGTAGGGGTCGGCCTAGGAAAGGTTGGAGGGAGGGGGTAAAGGAGGTTTTGTGTGCGAGTGGCTTGGACTTCCAGCAGGCATGCGTGAGCGTGTTTGATAGGAGTGAATGGAGACAAATGGTTTTTAATACTTGACGTGCTGTTGGAGTGTGAGCAAAGTAACATTTATGAAGGGGTTCAGGGAAACCGGCAGGCCGGACTTGAGTCCTGGAGATGGGAAGTACAGTGCCTGCACTCTGAAGGAGGGGTCTTAATGTTGCAGTTTAAAAACTGTAGTGTAAAGCACCCTTCTGGCAAGACAGTGATGGAGTGAATGATGGTGAAAGTTTTTCTTTTTCGGGCCACCCTGCCTTGGTGGGAATCGGCCAGTGTGATAATAAAAAAAAAAAAAAATTTAAGCATCTTGTGTGACTTTACTAACTTACTAAGTAAAGCGCAATTAACAACTGCTTCTAAAGCAGTGTTAGGAAGAAACTTAAATTAATAAAGGTTGAGTCTGGCATTTCAGTGGCATGGGTATGTGAAATCTACATCATCTTAGTTATCCATGTCTTTTCAGCCCTCTATATCTTTCCAGTCATCTACATATCAGCTTGTGCAGATCCACATTTTAAGCACAGCTCCCTTAAATATGCTGTGAATGGCAAATTTTGGCCTAGACATGAGAGAATGGGTCTGTGCAGCGAGTGTGTACAGTATAAAAAAAAAAAACACTGGCGATATTTACTTTATGGTTGCAGTCTGGACCCTAACTCTCTATATTAGTGAGGTATGCATATATATATATAGCATGCAAATTGGTATGATTGAGTAAATAACAAAAAAAGGCGCAATACCGTGACTGGAACAATACACAAATAACCCGCACATATAAGAGAGGAGCTTATGACGACATTTCGGTCCGACTTGGACTTCACAGATGGTCCAAGTCGGACTGAAACATCGTCGTAAGCTCCTCTCTTCTATGTGCAGGTTATTCATATATGAGTGAGTATTATGTATACTGAGTAAGTTTAAACTTCTGAAGAGTTGGGGAATGTGCTGTCTGGCACTAGATTGGGTAACTGTACATACAGCTGTTTTTTGCTGAGTTATTATTGGTTTTAGGTGATTTGTTGTAATAAATCCCCAGGTACAAATACCAAAGGTGAGATAAGGATAGATTAGAGAGTAGTACAAAGTAGTGCTGTTTGCTGTAAAGTGTAACTTATCTTAGAGAGAATGTCTATTGATTCTACAGTAAAACTTCTTATGAAGAAACATCCAATAGTGCAACTTTAAAAGTAATTAACCCTTCAACTGTCCAAACGCAGATCTATGTTTGCACCGCTAGTGTTCCGAACGTAGATTTATGTTTCATTTTACATGCTTTCAAATGTAAAAAAAAAAAAAAAAAAAAAAAATGTAGATCTACGTTTGGAGCACTAGCAGTGCAAACGTAGATCTACGTTTGGAGAGTTTAAGGGTTAAAAAAACTTGTGTTAAAAAACTTTGATAATACACACTGTAAATCTAAAAAAAATTAAATATCCAAAATTATATGCATCCTATGGAGCTTTTCATAAATGTTGCATGATCTCAGCTTATGAATGGTAAGTCATTTAGTTAGCTTTAAATTAGTATTACTCTTAAAGTAGCCTTAAGTTATTACTAGTTTGCCAAAAATGCACAGCATAAATAGGGGCTTATCCACTTAAGTCATAATTGTAAAACACTGTAATTTACATTGCATTTTGTGGATAACATCTATCTATTTACTTATTTATCTGTACATTCTTTAAATAAATTTTTATTAATATTATCATTATTATTAGCCTTATCATCATCTGTCGAGACAAGGACAATATAGCAGAAGGCTTTCTTTGCAAACTCCATTCCAACACTGACGGCTTCAAAAAGGCGGATACTTTAAAATAAAAGGAATACTAAAGAGAAATCCATGTGAGAATGCCAAACTAGAAGACCAACACTAATTAGTGAAACAGGGATCCCTCACCTTCCTCATCAACCCACTTGACGGTGAACACTTGGGTGGGATCAAACTTGCATATGGCACGGATCTCTTGCTCAAGCGCCTCAACCTCAAGTGTTGGCTGGATGTAGGTGATGTAGACTTCTCTGTATGGGAGAAAATACATTAATAATTCTACTTATATGTTACAAGTGCTATTCAGCCTGTTTTAAATTAAGAAATTTATGTAAATAAAAAAATGGTTGCAAGTTTTATAAATAGCATTATTATTATTATTATTATTATTATTATTATTATTATAAAACTAGTAACTATTTTTTTACATTTATAAAAATTTCTGAATGCAGTAGATTTGAATATAAACTTAAATTCAGAACAAAATTCATTTATATAAAACGAAAATAAGAAACTAAAGAATGACAAGTAGTACAGAGGAACCCCAGTTTTCATCTTTAATCCATTCCAGAAGGTCAGCCGAAAACCGATTTGTACGAAAAGTGAAGTAATACAGTGTATTTCCCATAAGAAATAATGTCAATCAATTAATCCGTTCCAGACACCCAAAAATATTAAAAAAAAAAAATACATTTTATAAAGAATAACTAAAGTTTTACATACAGAAAATGAGAAATAAATATAAATCACTAATGAAATGGATAAATGAACATTTAACACCACACATACGTCACTTTCGTATTTTTCTACAAGTTCTTTCTTGAATTCTATCATGTCTCTCACCTTCTTTACCAAAGGGCTGGCACTGGAATTTTCTTTGGCCCCATGGTGGCTTATTTAGCAGTCGCAAGCAAAAAAGAAAAAAAAAAGGATTATTACGAAATGTTTCGGATTAATGCGCAGAGCAATGCTCACTGAATGAGTAACAAAGGCAGACTGAGTCACAAACGTATGAGCGGCTGCGTCCCGTGGGCAGGCAGACGCATCTGGTACGGATGACTTCCAAGCGGAAGTACGAAAATGGGAAAAATTTTGCTGAAAAAAGTGGTCGAAAACTGAATTGTACGATAACTGGATGGGACGAAAACCGGGGTTCCACCGCATAATTTGGATTTTTTTTTTTTGTGATTCATTGGCTTGGCTGCTGTTGGACTATCATCTCAAACTGTGGAAACATGTAATGCATCTAAACTTAAAAGCAAACACAATTATCCAGCATTTTTTTTAAGATTAACTTCATCATCCATAGGCATTTGTCATCACTGTAAGTCATAATTTAGCATGAAAATATAATATGACCTACAACAAATATCTAGAAATGTATCCAAGTCATACTCATTGCACCTCTGACTGAAACCCAGCTGATGCCAACTAATTTCTATTTTATTATGTACTTAAGAAAAAAATGGATCACATTTTCAGCTTATATAGAAGGCTTAAATATACTACAGTACACTTGCTTTCAAATCCTGTTCAGCCCTCCATCTGCCCAAAGACTGTGATCCACCCCAAACAAAATATCATCCACCCTAGGGTGGACTGTCCAACCAGGATGAATAGCACTGAGCTTCAGCATATCTTATAAAAAAAAAATGTAGTACAGTGGACCCTCGTTTTTCGTAAGCATCGGAAGTCGTAATTTTCGAAAATCGTAATTTTTTTTTATCAAAACATTGACTCGCGAATCGTCATTTGACTCACAAAGTCGTTCATCCCAGATGCGTACACATGGCCCCAAGCAGCCCCACACTCCATTCCCAGCCATTGTACCATTGTTTATCAGTGAGTGAGGACGATCCCACACGTTCACATGATACATTTCTTAATACATATTCCATTCGTTATTAGTGCTTGCAACTGCTAAATAAGCCACCATGGCTCCAAAGAAAGCTCTTAGTGCCAGGCCTTTGCTAAAGAAGGTGAGAAATACAATAGAATTCAAGAAAGACATCATTGAAAAATATGAAAGTGGAGTGCATGTCGCAGAGCTTGCCAAGTTGTGTAACAAACCCCCATACAACCATCGCTTCCATCGTGGACAAGAAAAAGGAAATTAAGGAAGCTGTAGTTGCAAAAGGGGTAAATATGCTCACAAAAATGAGATTGCAAGAGCTTGAAGATGTTGAGAAGTTATTGTTGGTGTGGATTAACGAGAAACAATTATCAGGAGATAGTGTTATGCAGTTGATACTTTGTGAAAAGGCACGACCATCTCATAAAGAAAATGCCTGCAACGAGTGCTGATGTTAGAGAATTTAAGGCCAGCAAAGGCTGGTTTGAGAGATTTAAGAAGCGTAGTGGCATACACAGTGTGGTAACGCATGGTGAGGCTGCCAGTTCTGACAAATATGCAGCTGAAAAACATGTGCATGAATTCAAGGGGTACGCAGAGGCTGAGGAATTCAAACCCCAACAAGTGTTCAATTGTGACCAAACAGGCCTCTTTTGCCCTCCCCCCATCCACAAAGTATCATTCAATTTATTTAGCTGATTTTCAGAACATAACCCCAATGCAAAATGAGGGTTGTTGTAACTCTTGACGAGAAAAAAAAGTTTTTGGGTCCTATATGGTTAGTTTGGTTTAAAGGAACATTATGAAGCCCTCTCATTCGATAGGCTGATCTTGTATGCATACTGTACACTGCCTTTTAAATGAAACTAATAATTTTATTACTGAAACAAAATAAAAGTAAAAATATGCAATTAAAAAACGTAGCGCAATGGAACCTTGGTTTTCGTATGCCCTAAATGGAGAAAATTCTTGGAGAAAATTCTCTATGCAGTGTATTTTTTGTTAATATTTTTGGGTGTCTGGAATGGATTAATTGGTTACGACTTAAAAACAAATAGAAAAAGATCAAACACTGCATTTTTTTAAACCTGTTACAAAATGCAGCATACTGTAAACATTTAGATAAAACAGTAGTCATATTCCTGAAAGTGGCTCTTAATTAAAAAAAATTGTGCAAACTGAACTGAAAAAGCATATGGAAAAATAAAGTTACATTTCTTGGGTCACCAAAAATGTCAACTACATTTCTTTAAAATTCTTATTTTCTCAAAAATAATATTTTTTTGACACTTCACATTATAGATGTTGCTTATAGATCTAGAAAGGTATATTATATATCCAAATCTTAGATAAAAACTTAATTACTAAATTAACTCATTTAAAAAGGCATGGGGTAAACTGGAGTTTGACATTGGTGAGCGACTGAAGCAATTTACCACCTATTCCGTCCAGGGAAACTGGATACGGCATTCCATCCAGAGAAAACGGCTATTCACTATTATAAATTCAATGCAAAATCTTATCAGTATAGAATATGCAAAATTATGTAGCAAGAAAGAGCTTTGCCCTGACTCAGTCATCCATGCTGACTGGTTAGATCCCCAAATAACAGGCAAAGTGCTTTTGTCATTATCTTTCAAAGCACCGGGAGTCTTGAAAGGCAATTCCTGGTGGTAGAGTGATTATGCAATTTCAAATTGTGGAACTAGCCAGCACTAAACACACACTCTTGATAAGGCTTTCTTTCATTCTCACACTCTTTTAATAGTATGACAGCTTTCTCCTTGATTATGAGGAAATTAAGTAGTGCACCTTTAAGATAAGATTTTGCTCAGATATTTAACCCTTGGGCTACCCAGGATAGCCCAAGAAAGACAGTGCGTCATCGAGGGACTGTCTTATTTCCACAGGGATCCTTAATCTTGTCTCCCAGGATGTGACCCATACCAGTCCACTAACACCCAGGTACCTACTTACTGCTAGGTGAACAGGGACAGTAGGTGCAAGGAAACATACCTTACCTTACCTTTGGTACCCAATGTTTCCACCCTTGCCAGGAATCAAACCACAGACACTCAGTGTGTGAAGTGAGAGCACTGCCTACCAGGCCATAGGCCACCTTTCTTGGTTTTCTGCTCAATTCACTCAGTAATCTTTTCTTTTATTTAGCCGTTGTGATGTATATGATGTTCTCTTCATGTCACAACCTAGGTTACTCATTGAACAAGCTCGCTCTCTCTTCTCATTCCTTTTAATCATACGTATTGACGCTTTGTTGAGCCAAAGTCTCACATCATCTCCATTTCACTGAACCAATCTGAAGCAACAATAGATTTTCCGAACCTCACCTTTGGCAGCATGTGACTCAATTTTCATGCTACATCTTTACATTGTTTCGGACTATGGAGCTAATAATAATATACAGTGGTACCTTGAGTTACGAACTTAATTTGTTCCAGAAGGCTGTTCGAGTGCTGATACCGAACGAATTTGTTCCCATAAGGAACAATGCAAATTAGATTAGTACATTTCAGACCCCCAAAAATACGCTTACAAAAGCACTTACAATAATACAATTACAGCTACTTGAAACTCAAGGTACAACTGTAATAATAATACAGTGGAACCTTGGCTTATGAACTTAATCCATCCCATGACCTTGTTCGTATCCTGATTTGTTTGTATGCTGAGTAAATTTTCCTCATTTAACTTAACTGAAAAGCCATTAATCCATTCTGGCTGAATTCCTGCTCTCAGAGGCAGAAAAAATACACTCCAATATACTACTACTGTAATGCTAATATCAACTCTACGGCTTATTTATCTAACAGAATTGATCTAATACTGTATTACCTGGAGTTTACCTGGAGAGAGTTCCGGGGGTCAACGCCCCCGCGGCCCGGTCTGAGACCAGGCCTCCTGGTGGATCAGAGCCTGATCAACCAGGCTGTTGCTGCTGGCTGCACGCAAACCAACATACGAGCCACAGCCCGGCTGATCCGGAACTGACTTTAGGTGCTTGTCCAGTGCCAGCTTGAAGACTGCCAGGGGTCTGTTGGTAATCCCCCTTATGTGTGCTGGGAGGCAGTTGAACAGTCTCGGGCCCCTGACACTTATTGTATGGTCTCTTAACGTGCTAGTGACACCCCTGCTTTTCATTGGGGGGATGGTGCATCGTCTGCCAAGTCTTTTGCTTTCGTAGTGGGTGATTTTCGTGTGCAAGTTCGGTACTAGTCCCTCTAGGATTTTCCAGGTGTATATAATCATGTATCTCTCCCTCCTGCGTTCCAGGGAATACAGGTTTAGGAACCTCAAGCGCTCCCAATAATTGAGGTGTTTTATCTCCGTTATGCGCGCCGTGAAAATTCTCTGTACATTTTCTAGGTCGGCAATTTCACCTGCCTTGAAAGGTGCTGTTAGTGTGCAGCAATATTCCAGCCTAGATAGAACAAGTGACCTGAAGAGTGTCATCATGGGCTTGGCCTCCCTAGAACGAATAAAATATGTCCTTATGTGACAAATGGAGGTGGCCATAACCACTCCAACATCGTTGTGGTATTCACTGCCTTCTAGTGACGGCTTTTCGAAGCCATCTGTTATTATAATTATTATTACAATACATTATTATTATATTATTATTATACACATTATATTATTATTATAATGGGGAAGCACTTGTGGGGGAAGGTGATGGAAGGTATCCAGGCTTAATTTAGGGAACTAGACCACAGATCCAATTCCCCTCACCACGTACGTATTAATAATAATAATAATTATTATTTAATTTAATAGTAATAATAATACTGTAATATGTAATAACAGTAAGGAGAAATTCATAAGGATGCCAATAGTTGGTGCCACGATCAGCAAAAATAGTGGTAACCACTACCATTCTTCACCTGTCTAGATATAAGTAGACTATAAGTACTAGGCTAAGTTTGTCCGAAATGCCTTGGCATGATATTGGCTTTCTTTGCTCCACTCATATTATGATATGTAAACACACATTGTAACCTTTGCAAAGAAATAAATATTTTATTTATTTATTTGTTTATTTATGTAAGGAACCTCCCTTGAGGGGAAAGTACGCATCCTGAAATTTCGTTCGTATCCAGAAGCAAAAACTCAACCAAGCAACGGTTCATATCCTGAAAAGTTTGCATAGTGGGGTGTTCATAAGCCGAGGTTCCACTATATCTTTATTTACTACAAGTACATGTACAAGGTGTATATAGGCCTAGCTGACATCAATGATATACTACTATATAGAAAGCCCCTTGTAATGCAGAGCATTTCAGGCAAATTAGATAAATTTTTGTCCCAGGATGTGAGCCTCACCAGTCAACTAACACCCAGGTACCCATATTACTGATGGGTGAATATGGACAGCAGGTACAAGGAAACATACCCAATGTTTCCACTCTTTCTGGGAATCAAATCTGGACCTTAGTGTGTGAAGCGAGAGCTTTGCCTACCTGGAGTATAACTGGAGAGGGTTTTGGGGGTCAAGGCCCCCCCCGCCTGGTCCAAGAACAGGTAGTAAGATAAGATTTTTTGAGAATTTTTAATGCGGAGGGAGCGTTAGCCACTCAGGATAACCCAAAAACGTCAGTGCATAACTGAGGACTGTATCTCATTTCCATTGGAGTCTTTAAATCTTGTCCCACAGAATGCAACCTACACCAGTCGACTAACAGCCAGGTACCTACTTACTGATAGGTGAACAGGGAAAACATGTTTAAGGTAACATGCCCAATGTTTCCACCTATGTTGAGAATCGAACCACAGACACTCAGTGTGTGAGGCTGGAGTGCTGCCAACCAAGGAACAGATCAGTATTATTACTTTTATAATCAAGGGGGGAGCACTAAACCTGTAGAATTATGCAGTACCTTTGGAGGAAATGTGGAAGGTATTCAGGCTTAATTCAGGGAACCGGAGCACAGATCCAATTCTCTAGATCAAGAGCCTCTCATCAACATCAAGGAACCTTCCTTGAGGGAAACAGATCAGTAATAAGTTCTTCTTTGAACTACTACGTTTATTTAGGCACAGGTACACACAAATACAATTACCATACACATCGTAAATTACCTAGGATAACCCAAAAAAGCCAAAGTGATTTATTTCCATTAGCGTCCATGACCGCATAACCTATGATTACTCTGGCATTCCCTTAAAGGGTAGTAACAGTGATTATTCTACTCCCATAAATACTTTAAGTGGCGACAGTAATATCTGAAACAAGCACCAGACCAGTACGAATCACACACAACTCACCCACTATAGGCGATTTTGACACGAATTTCTGCTGGCTCTCCCGTAGCCACCTTGCTGCTGGGTGTCTGTGTGGGCATCTTCACTATATATTACCCCTACACTACCCTCAACTATCCCTGAGTGGTGGACGTCAAGCCCAGCACCTCACACTCAAGCAACACCTTAATGAGTTTGGAAAAACTTTTTGACAGGTGGATGTGTAGGCCTCTCCTGGGCGGCCTATGTGTAGGTGCTGGAGGAGTGACGGGGAAGGTGTGAGGTGGCCAGGTGAGGGCCACAGGTGGCCACTAAGTGTGTGTGTGAGGTAGAGGAGACGTGTACACACAAGAAACACACACCAGACACATAAACACTCAGAATAACAAGACTCAAACCACAACACTCCGGAAGTATTGGTCACGTGACCTACTCCTCCCTCACAACACACACTATATTATCCACATTACAAATACCTCCAACACTCCACTTTACCCTCAGAAGATAACTCAGAAATAATCTCTAAATAGTGTTAATAACAGCACACAGCAGTGTGAGTGATTGTAAGTGTTATTAAGGGTGATATATGGCAGGGTAAAGGCTCTCGGCTGATCAGTGATACACGGAGCAGATAGCAGCCGCCCCACGGTGGACACATTCTTAATTTTAGTTTAAATTTACCTGTGATAAGGCAGTATCATGGTAAGTTAGTGGGCTGGTATGCTCAGCTGGGGTTGGTGGGTACATGTGTAGGTGTAAGAGTGGTGAGAGGTGTATTGCAAGGTGTTAGTGGAGGTGGAGGAGAGTGGATGATAGGGCGAGAACGCCCATCGTATGACATGAATCACTGCTCAGAAATTCATCAGATGTGAGTAAGCATAGGTTAATTGGTCTGGGAAACTCACAACCAGTCATCCATCTACTCGGGCTGTGAGTTAATTGATAGGGTAAGCAGAGTTACCCTTCACTTGAGTGTATTAAGTTAGGATAATGTCATTGCTGGAGAGGAAATTGGGTCACCACATTTATTACTTTAAATGGCAACCATACCTTATATGATGCTTCTATTGCAACATCAACATGCAAGACACAACAGGGAGAGAAATCACATGACTGGAGAACACATAGTTTGAAAGGCACAATTATCATGTAGCCATGATCAGGTGATGTTACTTAATGTTTTCATTGGCAGTACAGATACCAGCTGGTCTGCTAGGATTCTTCTAATATCACTTTCACACCTTTTAAGTCGTATATAATATGTCCAGCAAAACCACCTGGCTGACGGTTACTTTCACAAGCTCTTTTAACATTATTTGTTTACTTATAGCTCAGTAGTAATAGTTGGTTTGGCTCATGACTGAACAGCCTTGGGTTTGATCCCAAGCAAACAAACAAACAAAAACAAACAACTTTATTTCTTTCTGCAGTATACAAAATGTAGTTTATATATAATAAAATATTGTTAAGCACAAAAGAAAGACACTAGTGTACGGTGCATTTCAGGTAAGAAGAGACACGAGCAAGTCTCCTTATACCTACTGCCACTCTTCATTTTGATGGTAAATGAGCACTTGTTTGTTTTTCGACTGTTGTGGGCCACAAGCTGGGAGAGAAACGAAAACAACAAAACATGATATGGCAATAAAAGCTATGGGTTTTGTAAGTGCAGAGGGAGGGGGGGAAATATATAAAATGCGAAAAAATGGTTTAGTCTCACTAATCACTGTAACGAGTTCCTTATTGACAATTTTTTTGATATGAGGGGGGTTTTTTTAAAGCGTAAACAAAGAAACCTGGATGGTAATTACTGTATGGGAGAGTAGAAAGGTGCAGGGTTGGGTTTTAGGAGTGAAAAAGCATAAACCTTGGGCAGCTTTTTTTATAAGTAAAAGGACACAAGTGCAATAATGGACATTTATTGTGGAAAACGTTTCGCTCTCCAGGAGCTTTATCAAGCATTACAAAAAATACATGGACACAGGGGGTTATAAAGGGCTAAAGGGGTGAGGTGAATATAGTGAGGTACCATTTCGATATCACTAGTGGTAGTAGTAGGGTAGTGGTAGTGACAAAAGTAATACAATATGGTAGAGTAATTAATTCGTCATGATAAAAGGATTAAAAGCTATTATTTGGGAAACAAAAAATAGTTGGGACAAAATAAATGGAATGAGGCGTTTGGGTTTCGGTTCCCTCTGTGCTTTGGTAGTAAAACGGGAGAGACTATGTGATGGCGGGGTTTTTACTTTTTTCCCGGAGGATTCTTGCTAAGACTTCGGAGATGGTGAAGCTGCCGTTGTTTTGTTTAATTTGTTTTTCGAAACAGCGATCATGCTGATTCGAGGCACTTGCGTCTGGGGGGAAAAATTAGTTTCTTTGATCATTTTAAAATTGGGCATCTTGAATTTTGAATGTTTGGGTGGAATTTCGGTGTTGTACCAGGCATTGTTCGGGTTTATCTTTTCCTCATGCGTAAGTGTTCATTAAGGGGGTGTCGAGGTTTCTGGCTGTTTCACCTACGTAAATCTTGCACAGCCTCCACGGGTATAGTGTAAACCCCTGCATTGATGGTTCGTGGTGCTTGGGAAATTTTTTTGGGTTTTAATCCTTTATTGAATGTAGAAGCGATGGCACTTGGTGTTAGCTTGTGAAAGTGCTAGAGACGTCCAGTTCAACCTGATTTTGGGGGAAAAGAATTATAACTTTGCTGGGAGGGGGGTGTTGATGCTGGAAATTTATGATCTAAGAGCTCTTTTCTTGCATCTTTGTGAAAAAAAAAGGGAAAAAAATGTAACTCTGGATGTTTGGTGAATGTATGTACACCCCTCGTCAAGAAACTCGGACTACAAATTTCGGTATGCTCTTGGGAAAAACCCGATGAGATGCCTCTTTTGGTCTTGGTATCTTGACTGGAATAGAAGTGTGTGAGATCATTTTTATTGGTGGGTTTTCGATAAATTTGAAATCTTAGGTTGTTTTTCTACTTTGTGAATGAGGACGTCGAGGAAAGGTAGCTTGTCATTGGACTCTTCTTCTAGTGTAAACTGGATCGCCGGTTCAAACTGCGTTGAGCCTTGCCTGAAGATCCCGTACATCAAAAACGTTTTGGAGTTATTACGAGGACATCGTCCACGTAACGTAACCAAGTGACGCTTGAAGGGATGATGTTGGCGAAGTGTTCGGACTCTAGGTGTTCCATGTAAAAGTTGGCTAGGACGGCATGATGGGGGACCCCATTCCCATGCCGTAGGTTTGTTTGTAGAGCTTGTTATTGAAAGAAAAACAGTTGAAATAACACAGAGTTAAATTAAGTCAACAAAATCTCCGGGAGGTAGAGGAAGATTAAGGTCCTGATTGACTTTACGTCGTAGAACCTCGATGGCTTTTTTGGTAGGTACTTTTGTGAAGAGGGAAGTCACATCCAAACTGCTTAGTTTCTTGTTACGGATGGAGAGGTTACGGATGCGGTTGAGAAGGTCACCTGAGTGTTTAAGATGAGCGGGGCTGATGGTCCCCAGAAGGCAGGAAAGATGTTTGGCAAGAACTCTGGCTAGTTTGTGTGGAGCACTGCCTATTCCTGACGTGATTGGTCTGAGAGGAATATTGTGTTTATGGGTCTTGGGTAAACCATACATGTGTGCTGGTTTAGGGTTGCTTGGTAACAAGTACAGAAGTTTCTTCCCTTCTCTTATGTATTGTTTGTAATGGCTTGATAAAGCTCCTGGAGAGCGAAACATTGCCACAATAAATGTCACATTAGTTGCACTTGTGTCCTTTTACTTTACATATTGTCGGTAATTCTACCAACTTTATTACAGCTTTTATTACATTTATTGACATTCTTTATTGATAATGTTTTGCCCATTGCATGGGTGAAACATTGTCAGTAAAGGATCTCATTACACTGTACATGTATTTGTCTCTGCTTCCATAATGCATAGGAAGTGACATTTTTTGCAAGTGGCTCACATTTACTGGCTGTTTGTTCCTTAATCCTTGCTTCTTGTAGTGCCAAAATCAAGTGAATGTACTGTACAATCTTGCTCCATTCCTTGATGTTCTTCTCTTCCACTTAGGCTGTTGCACAGATTAGAGCTTTTAGGAGTACAAAACAACTCTGCCTGCTGTCCCTTAAAGGGAATTACAGTATCTCAATACTGGTGAAGAGCAATTAGTAGAACTGGAGTTATCTTCCCCTTTCCCCAATCAAATCAGATCATCACTACCTTCCATCTCCAAGCTTTGTACGACCTACAAGTTTAGTGCTTCTCTATGAACATAGTGATAATGGCTATAATAATAATACTGGGTGCTATTTTAGTATGCAGTCTACCCCAGTATTTGTAGTCTATGCTGAGAACTGACTTTTAACGTGTGGTCTGCCTTTTATGTTATAATTTTACCTGTTACTAGTTAGGTTAGGTTAGGTTAAGTGTAAAAGTGCTGGTAGACCGCACGCTAATGTGTAAAAGTGCTGGTAGACTGCACGCTAAAGTATAAATGAGCTGGTAGACTGCATACTAAAGTATCACCTGATACTGTAATAAATAGTACACCTGCCCTATGGGAGGATTCTACCCTTGAGCCTAGAATTTGGATTCTCTACCATACATGCTCTCTCTTGAATACCTGAGGCTGACTGAGTAGCCTGCAGTTACATAAGAGTATGTATAAGTCTGGGGTTAATGGTGAGTTGTATCTGGGCCTCTCCAAGGGAAGGGGTGGAGGGGAGGGCTTGAAAAAAAAGGTATTCAGAAGCTGGATTTGTACATCTACCAAGTACAATACAATATATTTATATATGTAAACCGTTAGATAGGAGTAGAGAAATCAAAATCAGAATTTTATTTCTTTGCTAAGGTTACAATGTGTGTTTACATTTCATAATTTTGATTGGTACAAACAAAGCACTATCATGCCGAGGCATTTTGGGCAGACTTAAGAAGGGTTATCTATATGTGTATTTCAGATACCTTGCTTCTTCAGGATTCTAAATTAAAAGGTATATAATAATTAATGATTACAAATTAAGTCTTTCCCTAACACTATGCTCAAATAGAAAGATCTGAAATAACTGTGCTGTGCTGTAATCTAGTACTAAGGTGACAAAATACATTACGTAGTCATATTTATTTCAATTGAGAATTTGTTTTATTTATTGTTCAGTATATTTAGTTTTCAGTGAAGCATTGATGCAAAAATTCCTGTTGCCAAGTCTTGTACCTGGGTTTTGGCAGTTATAGGTAAAATAAGAGGCATTTTCATGTAGAGTAATTTAAAAATAAACCTTGATCACTTCTGAAGTAATCAAGGTCCCAGGACCGAAACGTTTTCTGGTAAATATGTTGTAGTGTTTGCTTACGTGTCTTTCTAAACCAACTTGTCGGTATTTATTACCAAGGTTTATACCACTTAAAGCCTTAAATCTCCACTCTCTGGAGAGGCGTAGAATGAGGGGAGATATCATTGAAGTGTATAAGTGGATGACAGGCATAAACAAGGGAGATATTAATAAAGTACTGAGGGTGTCGAACCAGGTAAGAACGGGAAATAATGGATATAAGTTGGATAAATTTAGATTTAGAAAGGACATAGGTAAAGTACTGGTTTTCTAACAGAGTTGTAGATGCGTGGAACAGTCTTCCCAGTGGGGTGATAGAGGCTAGGACCTTGGGTAGCTTTAAGAAGAGACTGGACAGATATATGAGTGGGAGGGGCTGGGTTTGATTGGTGTCATGGGGTACGGGAGTTATTTCTTGGATAGCTTTAGGTAGAGGTCGTTTTGATAAGGACCTGCCTCGTATGGGCCAGTAGGCCTTCTGCAGTGTTCCTACATTCTTATGTTCTATTCAGTAATAGTAATACAGGTCAGCCATCGCTAATGTGGCAATCGCTTATCTGGTTCCATCAGTAATTCGGCACTAATTTCAGCTAGCATAATTTCAAATTTCATCATTATACTGACATAAATTTCATCATTATATTGACTCAAAAATTGTGCAGATGGTTGTAAATCGACAGTAGCAAGCTAATGGAGGAGAAAGCAGTGATGAAAATGAGGATGATGTAGCAGAAAGAGTCTCTGTTGATAAGTTAATTAAGTGTATTCTAATCTAACCACTCTGTAATCCAGCAAATTCACTAATCCAGCACACTACAGGTCCCAATCATGCCGGATTAGTGATGGCCGACCTGTATATGTAATATTGTGCATGTTAATAGTTTCAAGGATCACCAGCCCTGTGACCTGACTGAGATTAGGCTTCTTAAACTGGAAAGGAAGCACAGTATTTCATGAATAAAAATTGCACTGAATGTAATAGTAATAGTAATAATATATAATAATAAATGTTTTGTTTGCAAAAAAAAAAAATATAATCAAATGATACAATTTAAGTAAAAATCCCATAATATGCCTAGGATTAACCTAGGATTAAAATTGCTTTATACTTAAAATTTCTTAAGTGTGAAGTTATTTTAGCTTAAGAGTAAAAAAATTTAAGTGGCTTCCATTTCTGTATATCATCCTAAATTTTCATATTTTAAATACTGTACAATAATTCTGTTTAAATGCTGCAGGAAAGGTGGCAGGGAAGAGAGGTGAAGGGGAGAACAGGAAGAAGAGAACACAGTAGAAGCATTTGTTTTACAAAATTATTTCTTAAATTTCTTGTCATGAGATAGTGGGAGAGGAAACTGAGAATACCACTCTTGATCATACTAGTGAAATTGAATGAAATCTAGTTTGTATGGATCTTTTCTCACGTGAATAATATAAGGTGCCTGCAAGCTGAATTTGGCAGTTCAATTTAATATCTGCAAATTATTAATTTTTCTAATCCTATATATGAGATCCATGCAACTTATACCTGAAGGGGCTCTTACCATATATAATAATAATCATATATTTTGTTTTTCAGATGGAGCAGCAGTTAGATTGTGCGCTGGACCTGATGCGCAGGCTGCCTCCTCAGCAAATAGAACGTAACCTGAGCGACTTAATTGACTTAGTGCCATCACTGTGTGAAGAACTTTTGTCCTCTGTTGATCAACCTCTGAAGATAGCACGAGACAAGAACAGTGGGAAAGACTACCTACTTTGTGACTACAACAGAGATGGGGATTCATATAGGTATTTGGGATCCTTGTGATTTTGTTACTATACCTTATCAATAAATGTAGTGAGAAACTGCCACTGAAGTATTTAAAAAAAATTGTTGAAACAAAGGTACATTATGATATCCAGCTGGAAGTGCCTGATCACTCAGTGTGATGATCCTTTTGGTCTGCAGACTACCGGTAGCATTATATTGCATAATTAAGAGGTTACCTGAAAAGCTTAGTCTCAGACTAGGCTGTTAGAGCAAAAAAAGCTCAAAATCAAGTGTTTGCAGGTTTATCATTCGTATTGAATAAATTGTAAGAAAATTACATAACTTTATTTCAAATTGACATATTGAATTCATCATTGTTGTTAAGAACGACGTCTTCAGAGAGAGAACAGAGCCCGAGCCTTTAGCTCATAAGACTGTCATTCCCATTTGCCTCCTTGGGGCGGGGATGGCAGACCAGAGAGGCCTAGCTTGTGGCTAGGCCTTGGGACTGTTGGTCCCAAAGATGAGGAGGTACTTGTGCCTCCTCCCATGGGAGACTTAGGTCTCAGACACTCCCTAAAGAGGGAGCCAAGGCCGGGCCACCACTTGGAAAAGGCCCGGGCCGGGAGAATACCGGCGAATCTTTAAGAAGAAGAAGATCATTGTTGTTGAAAAATATCAGCTTTATTGTTAGATAATGAATTTTAATCATTTAGTCAGTTGTTTTCTAGCCAAATTTTAGTCAATCCTTCATCCATGTGTTTACACTTGGTACAATTAAATGGCTAACATTTGGTACAAAGAGTATGTATCATGCAATCTGCACATGTGCTTCTTTCTTCCTTTTTCTAGGTTTCCATACACAAGATAGCAATCAAAGGACAGATATAAGCTTATTCAATTAGACTTTTCTTTTTTGTCCCTTGCTCTTCTGCTGTTTAAAAAAAGGTGTATATGATAAGGTACATATTGCATTAGTCATAAACTTATTTTTGCAATACTGTACAGGTGTCCCTCAACATTCGCGAGGGTTAGGGGATCAAGAGCCTCGCGAATGTTGAAAAACCGTGAATGTTTGGTGCCCCAATATATTGTAGGGAAATATAATACAATACTGCTTAACTTGTTGAACCATGAACAATCATAAAATACATGAAAACGTCATAAGTTGTACTAAATATATACATGTTATGCTTTAATAACATGTATGTTATTAAATACCACAGACTCCACCAGTGCCTCCACCACTTCCTCAACCAATGCGAGTTCCTACTACCCTCCCTCCGACCCCTGCAACTGGCAGCCAGCCCTCCCACCACTCAGTGTGATGAGTGTTTTGTTTGTTCATTATTTGCTATTAAACTACAGTATAAATAATGTAAACACATTCATGACTGCATATTGGAATGGCTATTTGAACAGGTGTTGGATGGTGACATCATGTGTTTACTCTTGAACACAGCAAAGAATCAAACATTTCTGCTACTGCTAATAATAACAATAGTAATAATAATAATAATAATAATACGATATAATTGAAGAAGGAAATTGTACAAAAATACGAGGGAGTGGTTGACACATCGTCAGTGTGGCTTTGTTTATGCTGGAGTGAACATTAGTCTCCCTGCTCTTCCAAACATTTCACAATAATTCAGCAGTTGAGGCAGTGGTAGAGGCAGTGATAGAGGCAGTGTAAGTAAGTAAGTTTATTCAGGTATACACAAATACAGTTACATAGAATTATCATACATAGCAGCATATGTGTAGAGAACCTAGGATAAACCAAAAAAGTCAGAGTGACTTATTTCCATTGGGGTGGGTGAGGCAGTGGTATTTACTAACATATACGTATGTTATAAATAATAATAGTACATGTTAATATTAATAACATTTCTTCTTCTTTCTTTCAACGTACCAGCCGTATCCCACCGAGGCAGGGTGGCCCAAAAGAAAAATCTAAAGTTTCTCTTTTTAAATTTAGTAATATATACAGGAGAAGGGGTTACTAGCCCCTTGCTCCCGGCATTTTAGTCGCCTCTTACAACACGCATGGCTTACGGAGGAAGAATTCTGTTCCACTTCCCCATGGAGGATTAATAACATTTATAATAATAATAATAAATGTTATTCATAATGTACTATTATTATTTATAACATATATGTTAGTAAATATCACTGCCTCTATCACCTCTACCACTGCCTCAACCACTCCAGTCGCACTCAATCTACAAGCACCAAACAATGAATTATTGTGAAATGTTTGGAAGAGCAGGGAGACTAATGTTCACTCCAGCATAAACAAAGCCACACTGACGATGTGTCAACCACTCCCCCGTATTTTTGTACAATTTCCTTCTTCAATTATATCGTTATATATTATTATTATTATTATTATTATTATTATTATTATTATTATTATTATTATTACTATTGTTATTATTAGCAATAGCAGAAATGTTTGATTCTTTGCTGTGTTCAAGAGTAAACACATGATGTCACCGTCCAATACCTGTCCAAATAGCCATTCCAATATGCAGTCATGAATGGGTTTACATTATTTATACTGTAGTTTAATAGCAAATAATGAACAAACAAAACACTCACTACACTGAGTGGTGGGAGGGCTGGCTGCCAGTTGCGGGGGTCGGTGGGAGGGTAGTAGGGACTTGCAGGTGGCGGGAAACTTGAATATGATTTGGCGGCTGGGAATTTGGTGGCTGGGAATTTGGTGGTTGGGAATTTGCGAATGTGCGAAGCCCGCGAAAGCTGAAAACGTGAATGTTGAGGGAGACCTGTACTTTCCTTTTTTTTGTATGTTGATTCAACTCTTCTTTTTGTTAGGTCAGTATTTTTGCTTTTCAGGTCACCGTGGAGCAACACTTATGATCCTCCTTTAGAAGATGGAGCGATGCCTAGTGACAGGCTACGTAAATTAGAGTTAGATGCTAATCAGGCTTTTGATCAGTACCGTGATATGTACTTTGAGGGTGGTGTTTCTTCCGTATATCTTTGGGATCTAGATCATGGGTTTGCAGGTAAGTTCTTTGTTTAATTTCTTGTATGTTATAAGTATGTTTTAATACTTTATATGTAAATTACACCTGGATACTTAAGTAGCACTATAAAATCTAGGAAATGTATTTTTAAGTAGTACAGTACTGTGTATAATAGAACCACAGTACCCTATATAATATATGCTAAGTACAGTACTACAAATAATTCAGTACAAAAATACTATATATAAGACAGTAATAAAGTATTGAATTCAGTAATTGCAGGCTAAATGCAAACTTGCTTTTACTGTCTAAAATCTTTAAGAAAATATATATACATATAACAAGTATATGACATCAAAACCAAACACAATATCCTTAGCCCATGTCAGTTTGGTTTCAGGTTGGGATGAAGTGCCAATGATGCAGTAATAATAATGCTCAGCTTTATATACTTCTTTTGAAAATAATGACTATCCAGTGGGTATCTTTATCAGCCTTAAAAAAAGCCTTTGATAAAGTAGACCTCAACATTCTACTATTCAAATTGGATTATAGAATAAGAGGACATGCTCTCTCCTACATGAAGTCTTACACTTGTAGCCATTTGAAGTTGAGGAGGTAATTAGTCCCTCAGCCTGGAGTCGGTGTGTTCAGGCCATCAGTCGTGATAAAAGTAAGCATATGTGCAGAGAAGGGGGCTTATATACTGCAAAAAAGGTGAGGTGAAGCAGTGGTAGGTAGCATCATTAGTGCAAAAATCTACTATGTAAAGTAAAAGGACACAAGTGCAACTAATGTGACATTTATTGTGGCAACGTTTCGCTCTCCAGGAGCTCCTGGAGAGTGAAACGTTGCCACAATAAATGTCACATTAGTTGCACTTGTGTCCTTTTACTTTACATATTGTCGGTAATTCTACCAACTTTATTACAAAAATCTACTAGTGGAAATAGGTCATGCCAATTTGTTAAGCAAGCTATGAAGAATTCCCTGCATCATGATCCCAAGATGTTGCAGTATTGGACTGAAGAAGCCACTGGTTGTAAACAGTAATAACTGTTCTTCATCATATCGTTCAGTGAACATAGGGGTTCCTCAAGGTAGTGTCCTGGACCGTTTGCTATCCCAAATCTACATCAATGACCTTCCAAACACTTCTTGGGAACTTATGTCATTTCTGTTTGCTGATAATACAGCTTTCATCTATTCAAATCCTGACCTGACTGCATCCAACAACACAGTCAATACTGAACTTGCTACAGTAGTTGGGTCACAACTAGCAAACACACACTCAGTATTAACAAGATGTTCTATATAGTGTTTGAGAACAAAGCACAAGATTTTTTTTAACATAAAGATCAACAATACATCAGTTGATAGACAGGATGAGGGTAAATTCTTGGGAATACTTTGACACAAACTTAAAAAAATTCAGCATGCACATCCAAAACATTTGTAATAAAATTTCCAAAACATTGGGCAGCATTCTCTCAAATATGCTATTATTTTCCCCAAATATCCCTTCTCACCTTGTACTATTCTTTAATCTATCCATTCCTCACCTATGGTATCTGTGCATAGTGATCAACATCAGATAATCACCTTAACCTGTTGTTACTCAGTAGAAATCAACTCTCAAAATTATAACTCATCAAGGCTATAGACAACACACACATTTCTTATTCAAAAGTTTAAATTTATTTGTACGTACAATATTCTTGCTTTTTACTGTGCACACTTATGTCGACGGGACAGTTTTTACTAACATTGACCCAGTGCTTAAATTCTGTCTGGAGAGCTGCAACAGAACACATGAACACAACATAAAGAACAGCTGTCTGTTTGACATTCCACGTGTACAACTTGACCTACTCGAAATCTCCATGCAGGTAAATGGCCAAAAATTTGGAACTCAGTGCCTGAAAATGCCAAAAATTCTCCATCTGCATATGTTAAATCTTACATAAATGTTAAAGCCATCATCAGTCTGTAAATTCTCATTCTTCAATTTCAACACCCCAATTCAACCACTTCATAACATACAGCTCATTGAACCAATTTAACTTTGTGACATGCAACTCATTGAACCAATTTATTTTCATTATATTATATTTGTAATTGCCAGTTGTTCATTTACATTATTATTATTATAATCAAGGGGGAAGCACTAAACCCGTAGGATTATACAGCGCCTATGGGGGGATGGAAGGCATTCAGGCTTAATTCAGGGAACTGGAGCACAGATCCAACTGGAGCACAGATCCAATTCCCTAGATCAAGAGCCCCTCACCAGCATCAAGGAGCCTTCCTTGAGGGGTGTTCATTTACAACCTGTCCAGTTGTACTTGTGATTGTAATGTATTGCACATGCAATACTAGTTTAAATTTTATTCTAGATTTAGAATTAAGTAGTACTGTAATTAGTCAGTCTTATGATAAGTTTGCCTGAAATGCATTTGCCTAATTAGAACCTTTCAGATGTAATATGTCATCATTTTGAATGTGTAACTAATGTATGACGCTTTGGAAATACATAATTTTAATAATGTAGTACGTACTAAAGTACTACATGTATATATAATACAGTAGTATTTTTTCAGTGAAGAGTAATATTATATGCAACACATACAGTATTACAGTACTGTATATAATAGTTAGTGCTGTACATAATACAGTATTACAATGCTGTGTAAAATACATTATTACAATACTGTGTATAATACAGTATTAGTGCTGTGTATAATACAGTATTACAGTGCTGTGTATAATACAGTATTACAGTGCTGTGTATAATACAGTATTACAGCACTGTATAATACAGTATTACAGTACTATGTATATAATACAGTATTACAGTACTGTGTATAATACAATATTGCAGTGCTGTATATAATACAGTATCACAGTGCTGTATATAATACAGTATCACAGTGCTGTATATAATTCAGTATCAGTGCTGTATCTAATACAGTAAAACAGTGCTGTATATAATACAGTATCACAATGCTGCATATAATACAGTATTACAGTGCTATAAATAATACAGTATCACAGTATTGAGTACGATATAGTACTGCCAATATTTCTGTCCAGTGCTCCTATTATCATTTCAGTACTATTCATACTTTATGATCCAGTAGTTGTATCAATTGCAGCCATCTTTCCTGCCCACCTGTTCAGTTCTCCAATGCCTCCTATTGACATACCAAGTTAATTTAAAGAAAATCTGAACTTATTTTGTGAAGAAGTGTGAAAGTGACTTGTCTGAGTGTTGTATGTAAAACACACAGTACTGTAGTGTGAGAGTGAGGAAAGTGTGTGTGTGTTTTATATATATATATATATAATATATATATATATATTTTTTTTTTTTTTTTTTTTTTTCAACAAGTCGGCCGTCTCCCACCGAGGCAGGGTGACCCAAAAAAGAAAGAAAATCCCCAAAAAGAAAATACTTTCATCATCATTCAACACTTTCACCACACTCGCACATTATCACTGTTTTTGCAGAGGTGCTCAGAATACAACAGTCTAGAAGCATAAACATATAAAGATACACAACATATCCCTCCAAACTGCCAATACCCAAACCCCTCCTTTAAAGTGCAGGCATTGTACTTCCCATTTCCAGGACTCAAGTCCGACTATATGAAAATAACCGGTTTCCCTGAATCCCTTCACTAAATATTACCCTGCTCACACTCCAACAGATCGTCAGGTCCCAAGTACCATTCGTCTCCATTCACTCCTATCTAACACGCTCACTGCACGCTTGCTGAAGTCCAAGCCCCTTACCCACAAAACCTCCTTTACCCCCTCTCTCCAACCCTTTCGAGGACGACCCCTACCCCGCCTTCCTTCCCCTATAGATTTATATGCTTTCCATGTCATTCTACTGTGATCCATTCTCTCTAAATGACCAAACCACCTCAACAACCCCTCTTCTGCCCTCTGACTAATACTTTTATTAACTCCACACCTTCTCCTAATTTCCACACTCCGAATTTTCTGCATAATATTTACACCACACATTGCCCTTAAACGGACATTCCGCTGCCTCCAACCGTCTCCTCGCTGCTGCATTACCACCAAGCTTCACACCCATATAAGAGTGTTGGTACCTACTTACTTTCATACATTCCCTTCTTTTGCCTCCATAAGATAACGTTTTTTGACTCCACATATACCTCAACGCACCACTCACTTTTTTCCCTCATCAATTCTATGATTAACCTCATCCTTCATAAATCCATCCGGCCGACACGTCAAACTCCCAAGTATCTGAAAACCTTCACTTCTTCCTACTACTCCTCCCCATTTGATATCCAATTTTTCTTTACTAAATCATATGACACCCTCATCACCTTACTCTTTTTCTATGCGTTCACTTTCTACTTTCTACCTTTACACACATTCCAAACTCATCCACTAACCTTTGGCAATTTTTCTTTAGAATCTCCAATAAGCTCAGTATCATCAGCAAATAAGTAACTGTTGTCATTCCCATTTTGAATTTGATTCCCATAATTTAATCCCACCCCCTCTCCCAAACACCCTAAGCATTTACTTCCTTTACAACCCCATTATAAATATATTAAACAACCATAGGTTACATTACACATCCTGTCTAAGACCTACTTTTACCGGGAATTAGTCTCACTCTTTTCTACACACCCTAACCTGACCTCACTATCCTCCCTCCAAAACTCTTTACAGCATTTAATAACTTACCACCTATTCCATATACTTGCAACAATCTGCCCACATTGCTCCTCTATCCACTCTATCTTATGCCTTTTCTAAATCATAAAATGCAATAAAAAAAACTTCCCTATCTTTATCTAAATACTGTTCACATATATGCTTCAAAGTTAAAAACCTGATCTTCCACTTCCCTTACCCACTCTAAAACCTCCTTGCGCTCATCCGCAATCCTACATTCTGTCTTACCTCTAATTCTTTCAATTATAACCCTTACCGTACACTTTTTCCTGGTATACTCAGTAAGCTTATTCCTCTATAATTTTTTACAGTCTCTT